CCCCTTCGTTAAATCCTAGGCAAATGAACTTAAATTACGTCCCTTCGTTCAAACGTCAATAATTACTGACTACGTACCGATACTGAGCTCTCTTAGTCGATACAGTACGCTATCAATATAGGCCACTCGCAGTTCTTTTACAGAGTGAGCTTCGCAAGCGCTTCACACAACTCGAGGACACGTATTTTGTGGCAGCATCAACTATCCTTGACCTTTATTGAAGGCGCAAAGAAAGAAAAAAAAAAGAAACTCGCCTTCTTTCAGTGATTAGAGACAAACAAGGAGAGAGACCTGGTCAAACACCAGGCTCATCATCAATTTCAGCTGCTAAAACAGAACATTCTGAAGAAAAAAAGAAGTAATTGTGCAAGCCTTCGTCGTTCAAGCAGAAGAGCGTAGGCAAAGGTTTCAGCCTCAAACAAGTGCCGTAGTCCAACTGAATCGGTACTTTGAGATGCCCCTGGCCAGACGGGAAAAGAACAATCCATTGACCTGGTGGAGTCATTATATATTATGAAAAAGCCTTTCCGGAACTCAGCCAGGACGCCAAAAAGCTTTTGGCTATTCCAGCAACATCTGTGACGTCAGAACGGCTGTTCTCCAAGGCTGGTGAATTGATTTCATTAAAGAGGACCTACCTTGGCGAAAAACGTGTAGACAAACTTTTGTTGTTGTTGTTTTTTATTGAAATGATTGACCTCCTCTTTCCCAGTCCAGCACGTGTAATATGTTTTGTCTGTTTTCCTTGCATTTTGTTTATTTCGTTAAGTCGTTGACTTCATTGAGAGTTCTGACAGATTCATTGTCTTGAATTCCCTATTTTTGTATAAGCTTACTTTTTGTGTCCAGTTTGTGTTAATTTTGAAAATAACATTAAAGTAATCACCCTCCCCCCCTAAAAATAAATAAAAAGTACAAAATAATTGAAATGTCGGGTACCCGACGGGTACGCCGGGTGCTTGGGTATCAAAATACCCATTTGCTTTCGTTTTCACTTTCTGCCCCCACACCCTCCCCTCCTTTGCCCCCTCCGAGAGAGACCAGTTCAGAAGTTTTATTTTGCATTTTCCCATACGGGCGGGGGTGGAGGGGGTGTGGGGTGGAGGGGGTAAACAGTTGTTATTATCTGAAGTAGACGTAAAAATGGAAAAGAATAAAGTTTAACAAGAAGAAGAAGAACAACAACATCTCAGGCAGCAGCAGCAGTAACAGCAGCAACAACAACAACAACGACGACCTCGACGAACACCCCCAACAGCAATCAAACGAAAGAAAAGGAAGTTGTGTTTCGCAACCCTAAACCAAAATTGATAGTAGTATTGTAACAGCCTCCCCCCTCCCCCCT